TTGTGTGTTCCAATCAAGGTTTTTAAAACCGGATTGGTTATTGAACCGTTTTCAGGTCTGGTTCTAACCGGTTGAACCGATGAATCGGTCGATCCAAACAACAAAGAAGATTTGATGAGAGGAGCAAGGTATAGGCAAGGATTTTCTAATTTGGTGTATGATAATTTTGTAATTTTGTTAAAATTAAAGGTTAAAATGAGTATAAGAAAGGAATGAGAAAGGTGAAATTGGAAAAAATTGAAAGAGATTGCATGAGAAATTGAACCGATAATTTTTTTGGTTTTATTGGTTCCATTGATTTTAACCGGTTTTTATCGGTTTGACCAATTTTGACATCAAACGATTTTTTTATGTAGATCGAACCGTTTCCATCATCGGTACCAGTTTGATCGGTTCAACCGACCAATCTGGTCCGGTTTTAAAAACTTTGGTTCCAACGAAAGAGATTGCTGTAATTAGAATTAATATTAGGGGCAATTTTGGGTGAATGTTTTGGTTATTTGCAACATAAGTCCTTGTATTTTTGTGAATTTGTGACGTAAAGAATTTTAACTTGAAACAGATCTCGACTTATGAAATTAACAATTCTAAATATAAACATCTCATGAGGAGTTTATGAGTTAATTAAAGAAAAACTCAATTTAAGCTTGAGTAACAAATGATCTTCAGCTTAGGTTCAATAATATTATTGAGTCTTTTATGAGTAACTCAACTCATTTTTTATAAATGCTCTCACTTATTTTACTATTTATAAGAATCTAATTTTAATTCTCTCTAGATTTTTTTCTCTTCTTACTTGCTCTTGATGAAGACAATACTTGAATGCCTTCTCCATTTTGCATGTCCAAGACTTATTTAATTTTCAACTAATTAAGTGTGAGTTATTTCTCCCGTGAAGACAATTGGGCCTTAAGTACATTGGTCTCAAAAAGTTAAAGGACTTAATCATTGAGGAGAAGAGGAATTGATAGACTACTTTATTACTTTCTATAAAACAAAGGATACATTTGATTTGCAAGAAATGAAGAGAAAAGAAGAACGATGATTTTTTTTGACTAATTAAATTGCAATACTCCTTGATATCCCCAAATTTAGCATACAAGTTAACTAAATCATTACAAACATAAGCATAAGCTTGAAAACCACACCTAAAACTTAAAACTTTTTAAGGCAACAAACAATTAAATTGTAGTATTCCTGGATGTCTTTTCACTAAAGACACGATCTTGGATGTGATATGGTATAGATTTACCGGCATTTAAAATCTTATTTCCTTTTTTAAAACTCTGAAACTTAAAACTCTTTAGATTATCACTTCTTCAAACGTTCTTCCACTCATGTTGCTTAGATCAGTTAATAAATTTTTGTTTGCATTCTATAGTAGAAGAATAAATTATTAATTTGAATTTTGCCACAAGAAATTGAAGGTCTCTTTGATCATGACCGTTGGGTTGGCATTGTTGGCAACTTGGCAAGTTGACAAGCTGGTATTGCTCTATTATTATGGGAGATAAATTATAAATATTAACGTTGGCCTCAATCTTTTGAGTAAATTACAAAAACTCCATGTGTTTGTGTTAGGCTCTTAGCTACATTTTTATTTTATAGTCCATATGATTAAAGAATGGGACAAATATTCCCATCAAGTAAGTATAGACAAAATAATAATTGACCTAGAGGCTAAAAGAATGACAGAAAATTAAAATATCATGACAATTAAAATGTAATGAATAATAAAAAAACCATAAATATCCTTAACAAATTCTATACAAGAAAAATTCATTCAAGATATTTGAATAATTTTAAAAGTGATCTTGACATTAAATATACTCATAATAGTTGGATCTAATTGAAACAATTAAAAATATAGGCGATCCAATTGATACAAAAAGTAGTTGGATAAGAATGATATTATATTTTTTGATCGAGGACCAAAGTCAGATGCGGCTAAAAGGTCGAAGATAAACGTACATAGCAAATCTTCCCACGCCTCACCAGGCCCGCCCCTTTTTTTTTTTTTTTTGAATTTTTTGGCCAAACAAATTTTATTATTTATTTTATTACGTAGACTGAATAAAGTGCAAGTTTTCTTACGTTTTTGAACTGGCAACAATAATACAATAATATTATAATTATAATATTATATAAATTTATAAATTTATAATTAAAATATTACATTAAATGAATATTATATAATATTAAATAAGTAAATATAAATAACACATGAGTAAATATTTAAATGAAAAGAGTTGACTATATAATAATATATTATATTATACATTTATAATGTGATATTATAATTATAATATTTTCAAATAATAATATTATTTATAGAATAAAGAATACAAAGCATAAACCCATCCTTCAAGTTTTTAGAACTAATAGCGTTTTTAGTACGAGAAAACTAAGTCTAGAGGGAAAATTATCATAAGCACTCAAATTATTTCGTTAACTAAACAATTTAGTTTAATTGGTCAAATCTCCCCTCCATTTCCCTTCGTTTCTCTCAAGCTGATCAGGCTCTAAGAGAATTTTCACAAATGAAATATGACTTTCACAGATGAAATTCCTGTTTCTCAGGCTCCACTAAGCTTGGATTCATATGTTAATTGTGTGTATGTTTCTTTGTAAAGGTTACTGTTCTAAGCCAAGGGCTTTCTAGTTGGAGTCATTACTGGGCATGTAATGTCACTATAATTCCATAAGCCAAGACTTATTTTTGATTTAAAATAATAAGCCACGGAGCAAGACCGTACCATAGGTCCAATTGGCAATGACAACCCTTGCTCCTTTTTTTTCTGTACCATAAACAAGTGCCTTTCCAGCACCACCAGCACCAATAACCACAAAACAGCTTTCCAGCCAAGGGTGAACCAGCAGTACAGCTTGTATTAGATGTCCCTGAACAGGGAAAACTTAGTAATCATCATTGAGCAAAAGTTACTAAAAAACTGTATGCTCAGCTCAAAAAAGACGACAAACCTCGCTGTCTATCTTCAACAGGAGAAATAGCACTGAAATAGTCTGTATTGTAGCCAGATAACTGCCCATCAGTTTGTCTCCTCACAATGCAATTAACAGCTCCTATAGGTTGATATTAATTTAAAACAAATCATGCATGGATGGGACATAGATGAAATGTAGTCTGAAGTTATTTAAGTTACCATATATGCAGGTGGAGATTGTAATACTAGCATCAGTAGATTAATAATAAAATTAATAAGCTACCTTTGCTACTGGATCAACCTCATCACAACTCTTCACTGCAGCCTCCTTGCGAGGAATGGTACAGCTGCATGAGGGATGATGTGACAGTGTCCAGTTATTCAGTATAGAAGTGCAAATGCTACTAATTGCAGTCCCCAAAGCAACAGAGAAGAACAAAACATTCAAATATAATTTTTTTGAAAG